ACCCCACAGATCCCATCTCCACCCGTGGGACCCCCACACCCACCTTGGATGCCCCACGTCCACCCGTGGGACCCCCGTGTCCACCCCACAGGTCCCATCTCCACCCGTGGGACCCCCATGCCCACCTTGGATGCCCCATGTCCACGCACAGGACCCACATGTTCACCTTTGGGACCCCCACGTCTGCCCTAGAGGCTCCTCTGTCCACCCCACAGGTCCCATCTCCACCTGTGGGACCCCCACACCCACCTTGGGTGCCCCATGTCCACCCACGCGACCCACACGTTCACCTGTGGGACCCCCATGTCCACTTGGATGCCTCACGTCCACCCATGAGACCCCCATGTCCATCCGTGGGACCCCCGTGTCTACCCCACAGGTCCCATCTCCACCCGTGGGACCCCCACGCCCACCTTGGATGCCCCACGTCCACTCATGGCATAGCCGTGTCCTCCACCTTGGATGTCCCATGAGACCCCCACCTCACCCCGAGGTGTCCCACATCCACCCGTGGGACCCTCCTGTCCATCTTGGCTGCCCCACAACCAGCTGTGGCACCCCCATGTCTTCTCCAGGGGGTCTCGTGTCTTCCCCCAGGGGTCCTCTTTCCACCCATGGGACCCCCATGTCCACCTTGGATACCCCACGTCCACCTCTGGGACCCCCATCTCCACCTTGGGATGCCCCACATCTACCTGTGGGACCCCTGTGTCCTCCCCAGGTGCCCCACGTCTGCCTCAGGGACCCCCATGTCCACCTGTAGGACCCCCACCTCTACCTTGGGTGTCACTTGTAGGACCTCCCACCTTCTGCCGTCCCCCTATGTCCACCCCACAGGTACCGCATCTACCTGTGGGGCCACCAAGTCCACCCTGGTGGCCTTTGTCTGTGGTGGCCATCCCCCAAGACGCCCCACATCTCCTCCTGGGACTGCCCCACGTCCACCTTGGGTGGTCCCCAACCATACGTCTAACCCAGGGGACCTCTACGCCCACCCCACGGGCCCCACATCCACCTGTGAGAACCCCCTCCCCATGTCTTCTCCGGGGGCCACCCGTCCACCCGGCTGCTCCGTGGCTGCCCCAAAGATCCATGGGACACCTCACCATTCACCCCAGTGACCCCCGTCTGCCCCAGGTGCCCCATGTCCACCCCATGGACCTCCTGGTCTCTCCCACTCTGAACTGGCCTCTTCCACCGCCATTTCACCTCCACGTTCAGAACTTGGAGGACATGGCGATGGGGCCACTAGGGGTGGCCATGTCACACCGGAAGGTCCCGACCCACCCGTGTGTGTCCCCCTCCGCCTCTGTACCACGTCCCTTTGTCCCCACAGCTTCGAGGAACGTCCTGTGGGTGATCGAGGGGACCTCCTGCGACCTGCCCTGGCAGGCCGCCCTCTTCAAAGGCGAGAGGTTCATCTGCGGAGGGACTCTGGTGGACAAGAACTGGGTGTTGACGGCCGCCCATTGCCACGTCCCGGGGTAAGAGGCCACGGTGGGTTTGGGTGTCAATGGGTTGAGGTCAACGGGGTCTTCCAACCAGGAATCAACCCCCGGGTGGCACCTGGGGTCCTGCTTTCCAACCCAGCAGGATGGGAGGGGTGGTGGCATCTCAGGGGGCTTCACCCTGTCCCTTTTCCACCTGTGTAGAACCTCAACTCTGCCCCTTTTTTTT